GCTTTCAACGTGATTGCTAGAGTTTTCGGTCTTTACATGGTCCATGGCCCATGATCCTATTTATTGTCCTTCCACTCTACAAAGCACGGAAACTAATCTGAACAGTTCCGCTTATACCAGGAACTCAACATAGAGGCTCCCAATACCTAGGTGGTGATGACAGCTGGGAGAGTGAGGAGTTTTGCAGTGCATCGATTGCCACCTGCCAGTGCCTCCCAGCTCAATCTTGGATTCCTGTTCTTCTTACTCCGTTGTGCATGCGCACTGTGGGTCATGCTCACCATGGGCTCATGCTATAGATTTTGATGAGTTCTGTTAGTGGAACTGAGTCACAGGTCAACAAACTGACGTTGCTTCCCTCAGTCCATCAAGCCATATCCCATGAATAGATTTTTACAACTATGTTTTACTGAATACACTGAAAGAAGACATAAAGATACAAAGTATTTACAAATGTTTTCTAAGAAGTCACTAAGCACACACAAGATTTTATAAAATGAACAACCGTATTCTCTTCGACTGCTAGTGAGAAGCTTTTGTTGGAGTAGAAAGAAATCTCAAATACATATATTCTTCAGTAGCTGGTGATGTACAAAGCAACAACAAATAAAAGTCATAAATCACATCCTCCAGCCTCTCTGGATGTTAAGAAGTAGTGAGGTCTAATTTACCTTGGGTGTAATGAAAGGACTCAGCCCAGGGACTGAAAAGCAGGTCAACATAAACTTGAAGGGAGGAAAGTATAATCTTAAGAAGCTATGTTGCAAATTGAAAATAGAAACGTTTTATTCTCTTAATATTATATATTACTGCTTTGTCTATAATTTTAATAAATTTAGAAGTAACGGAGAAAAACTCAAAGAAGAGCACTGTGATGCTTTTGTATTTTTATAATTAGAATGAGTTCACAATTTTTACTTAAAAAGCATCCTTAAAATGTACCTTAATGAGAAACAGGTGTTGATATATATTCTAGACAGTGCTAAGAAAAACACAGTATGTTTGGTAATGGTTTATTCTACGGTGAGTTTATACATACATGTGAAAGAGCACTGTGAAAAATGTGTTGATCTTTGAGAAAGAGGCCATAGTTCTTGGCCAAAAAAGACACAAGTAATAAGATTGTGGAATGACTGTGCATTTGTCAGCAGTTGTCTTCTGGGTCAAGACACAGTAGCTTTGTGTACTTGCATAGCTGAGGCTGCTGGAAAGAGGGGCTGCATGACACCACCACATTCTATTACCTGACAGCAACTGTCAACATTACCTGCTTTGCTAGAGTTTGAGCTACAAGCAGTGTCTTCAGCTCTGGTACTTGATACTGATTGTTAAGGTTAAGAATACTCAAGTGTTCTTGGTGATGTTAATCTCAGCAGTAACTTAATAAGTATAGTTTTATCATACAACTGTCCTCATCCAACGTGTTTGATTTCATTTGATTTGAACTTATCATGTGTTTGGGATGTGTCCACAGTCTCCGGCTCTACCTGTTTCAACACATCCGTCATCATGGGAATACACATCGGGCCTCCTTGTCATTCAGAGGTTGAACTGAGTATTTCAGACCCTGAACAGCAATTACGATCACAGCTGGAGGAGAGTAAGGAGAAGTTTCATGAACTCAAACAACGTTTTCTTGTGTCTGAAGCTACTGTCTATTCCATGGCTAAGGAGCTGCAAAAGCACAGTAAGTTCGATGGTTCATGATCCCTGAAGTGGTGAACAAGTTTTTTCACACTGAGAAAGGACCTTTTCTTCCAAGTTGATGTTTCTCCCATGTTCCTAGAAGGTTAGATGTTCATTTTTATTCCTCGGTTAAAGATGATGCAAAACTCTCTCTAAGCATTCTGCAAAATTTCTTCTTTGTTTTTTAGAGTAAGGTCTCCCTATGTCCTTGAATCTCATTTTGAACAAACTATGTAACCCTGCTGACATTCAAATCATAGTATTCCTACTGTATCAGCTGAGATTTATAGCGAAATATAGGGTTACACTATGGTTATCAATTAATACTGATTCATTAATGAGGCTAAGGTTAAAATACCTTACTGCTTCCTCAACCAAACTCAGAATTAGCTCCTGTTGAAGATCAGTTATGACCATTTTTATTGGACCCTATTTTTACCTCAGGAGATCCTATAGATGTATAATATCACTGTTGACCTAAATTTCTACAAGAAATGATACTGTGTTTAACTCAAGCTTCTGTTGACCTCTTATTGACAAAATGCTATGCTGATTATGCTGAGGAAACATGTTGGTAGGGGTGTCTTGGTTTATTGGGCTCAGAGAGAATTGTGCTGCTGAATGAAACTAGAGCAGACATAAGGGTCACCATGGAGATCAGAGACTGCTCTGAAGAACAAGCCATGAGTCCTGGCTTGCACTTTTTTCCTTTTAGTTCAAGAGAACCACATTACACCCTGGTGTTGGAGCAGATATTTCTGGGATATAAAAGAAGCACCCCATCTACTTATAGCTGAGCCAGTGTACCTGGAGGGCCTTAGGAAGCTCAGCCAACCAAAGTATATCACTAAGGTTTCAGCGATGAGACATGAGGCCAAAGTCAGATGAAGACATGAATCCCATCAGCCACACTGAGCCCCAGGCTTGTGTCCAGGTTCCTCTCCCCTCTTCAATGAGCATGCCAAGCAGGAGTCCATTGAGCAGAGCACTGAGAGGGGCTGTGCTGATTGGAATCAGTGGACAAGGACAGTGTGCAACACCAAGAGTGCATACAACCCTACTAGTTTGGACCCAGAATTTGCATTTATGAAGTAAAGTTTTCTACAAAAGTCATTGGTGCAATGTATAGTTCAACTGAAATTGACCTAAATTTATGTAATGTTTTGGGAAAAAATCCAGAATTTCAAAATTAAATATGAGAGTAAGAAGAGATTATACACTGCACATGTTAAATCAAATAGTTACTCAAAGAATGAGAAATATGCAAAAATTCTCCTATTTATCAGCACTAAGGTTTCTTAACAATTAGCTAATAGAAATTAGTACTATGACTATCTTGTGTTTTTCCTCCCTTCCTCTCTTTCCTCATTCCTCATTGTAGTTCCTCTCTACTTTTGAGATATTTCTTCCCATTTCACCCTATCTGTGTGTATTTGAGACCTTATTTATTCTTTGAGCTCCTCATGGGAGCGAGGCAATGTTTACATGAATCTAATTTATTTCACTTGTGAGCAGATTTCCCTACAATATGAGTATTGCAGCTAAATACTTTGACTTTGAAGTTGACAGAGAAAACATGTATCCTGCTCTGCCCTTAGAGGTGATGGTGTGTCGAGCATGCACCCTGGATCCATCTCCATGGTTCTAGTGCAGGTTTCTTATCTTTTCCTACTCTCTGATTTCTCAAGTATTTATATGGTCTGTGGTCATACCTACTTCTGTTCCTGATCACTGTAGCCTAGTCTAATAAAATTCTTCCAACAATGCCTATCTCAAAGTAAACACTAAAGTTGGTATTTCTACTGCTCCTAAACTGATACAAATTTTTTAGTCTTGGGCATGGACTTTCAGGTTTTTGTTTCACATAATTCTTGTTCATATTTTTTTGGTGCAACTAGGGATTGAACTCAGGCCTTTGTGCTTACCAGAAAAGCACTTATTCTACTGTGCCATCTTCCTGGCCCTCATCTTTTAATAATCTGATCATTACCACAGTTCCAAGACAAGAATGTTTTCAGCTATAATCTATGAGTAAAGCCTATTGCTGCTTCCAGGCCACCTAAGTGTTTGACGTTTTGGTGTTTTTTTTTTCTTTTACTTTCTTTTTTTCATATTTTTTCTCTTTTTCGTGTACTTGATAAAGGATCTCACCAGGAAGCCCATACTCATAGTGATCCTCCTGTTTTCAGTCACATATTTTTCTGTGATTTAGGGCATGCATGCATAAGCACAGCTTGTTTGCTTCACAGGCTCAGTGTGCCTGGGGGTGGGATTAGCGTGGCATGTGGTCCCTGGGAATTGAACTCCTAGTCTCTGAGCTTTTCTAAACAGGACCTTAGTCCACTGAGTTATGCCTCTAATCATTCGTATTTGACTTTCAGTGCTGCAGGTTTGTTAATATTTTTTTCCTGGATGCAGATTTAGACATCATGGGATAACAATTCTTTTTTTTTTAAGTGAACACAGCAAGATTTTATTTTTTTCACAATAAAAACCATGAAAAGATAAACCTGGATCACTTGCCCCTTCTATTCTTATCTCCTCACAGTTCAAAATGCTTGCATCTCTTAATAGTCAGCATTCTCTTAGATCTGCAGTTGGGCTCACACACTGAAGCCTCAGAACAATCTTCTTCGTAGTTTTGGCCTTCTTCTGGAAAATTGGCTTAATCTGCACACCATAGCCACTGTTACCTTTCATAATGCCTCTTTTCCTGTACATATAGAGAATCCTTGCCTTTTGCACTGTGTCACTTTGTGGGGTTGATGCATGCCACACTTCTTAAAGAAAGTTCACTGGGTTTTGGGAACTTTCACCATGCTTGCAGGCATGCAAATAGCAAGGAAAGCGGGATATTAATTCTCACTCTGGCTACACTACTTAAATGATGTCAATTTATAGGCCTTTAAATGTTCACATTTCTTTGCATAAAATTGAGACCATGAACTGTCCTCTGTGCAGTAGATTGTAGTATGAAAACATGGACCTGCATACAAACACCCATGTGGGGTGATAGCATTTATATTTAGGTTGGTCGCAGCTCCCCTTCTGAAGGCCGTGGCATAGTCATGGGGCAACTGTGCACTGAGCCAGGGGCATCTGTCTCTCTCAGATTGTCGAAAGTTCAAAGACATTATCCGGTCTGTTCTGGGCGAGAAGCTGCAGTACAAGGAAGAAAGTCTGGCTGAGAAGCTGAGCCTGGCAGAAAATCTGAGGTAAGGATCTCTGTGCACTGCAGACAGGGTTGAAGGTGTGTGAATGCCTTGTGTGCCCACCCGGGTGGGGGAACAAAAAAGCTAGTCTGGTCCATGGAGAGGCAGAAGGCCACATGGAAGGTACACAGCTGATGATGAGCTATGAAACCTTTAGGGAACAAAACACTTGGTAGAGGATGCAATAAACTTTCATGAAAATTCTCATGAATACTTCTGAAATTGTATTGAACTTTATTAATATAAAGTTAGTTCAAAGGGAACAATTATGAGACTTTATTGTTTTGCACACTTTTAATATTGAGGAATTGCTACCTTATTTACAAGACTGCATATTCTTGTGTTGATGCATACCCATGTGTGACTTTTCATTCAGAAAGTGTGTTTCTTCCTGACACATATTTTTCTTTCATTTTGTCCAATTTTCTTAAGCACCATTTATAGAAAGAAGAACTGCACTTTATCAAAATCAACTGAATTTTTTTTTATCATGAGTTCTGCTTAGGGCATTGTGTGTAAGGAGTGACACCTCATATGAACGTTCTCCTGAATCTTCTTTGTTATCTTTAGTGTTGGAGACATTTCTGTTGCTTCACTGCACAAATGCACTGTTTCTCTACCAACAAAGAGATGTCTTCAGCCAATGCGGACGTCAATAGGCATCTTGGGAAGACTCATGGAGATGTTTGATTGGTTAGAGTAGAGGAGATGAGGAGAATGTTGAGGAATCCTCCAGGAACATTTTCTGACACAGAGGACAGCTGTCTTTATCTTTCTTTTCCTTTGCCATTGGTAGGCCCCTAAATCTGAATTCTGTTTTAGGGCAGCTTAAGGATTGTCTCATAAAATGTGTATCAATATTCATATGACCACTTTTGGGCTTTGATTTCTATCTGTTTCACCTAGGGAACGCAGTTTTCACATTCGAGATCAAGACCAGAAATGGTCCTTGTTTCATCAGAAATTACAGCAGGGGAGCAAAGCTTCCTTTCTCCTGTGTCAACATCTCAAGAACCTCCTCACCTGAGATGAGGAGGTGCCTTCTAATACCATCCAGGGTCATGCCTTCTATGAGCTTCTGGCTGTGGGCTGCAGGGTAGCAGAAGACCTTGTGCAAATGCTCAGTGCAAGTGAAGTATTCACAGTCTTTGCTTAGTGTGAAGAAATTCAAGGTGTGCAATTTGCAAGATGGTGCCTTCACAGAGGGTCCTTTAGTTCCTAGAGTCCATCTTTGTTATTTCTTCTCCTCAAATGTAGTCTTTGGCTAAAGTGTGAGCATTCATAAAGAAGAAAATTGCAAGGGCCAGTCAGATAGCTCAGCAAATTAAAGTGCTTGCTTAAGTAGACTCAGCATCCAGAGTTTTGATCTTCGGCCTATGGTGATGGCCCTGAACCCAAGCTATGCTGAGGTGGAGACAGTGTAGTCGTGATTGTGCACACCTGTAATGCCAGCACTTCAGAGGCTGAAAAACAGAAAGGATGAGTACAAGTTCAATCTGTGTTGTGATACTCTGTAGACCCTGTACTAAATATATATATACATATATGGCTAGGGAGATGGCTCAGTGGAATAACCACTTCCCTGGCAAGCTCAAAGACCTGCGTTCAATCCCTGGTAATGCAGGAAAAAAAGAAGAAATAAAAAGGAAAAAAAAAGATATCTGGGACTGTCCAGAGACTGTCCCTCAGTGCATTTTCCATTCTCAGAAAAATATTGGTTCTATAACAAAATCAAGGTATAGTGCATATTTTTGGTCTGAAGAGTGGGAAGAATGTGAAACTACAGTAAATCTGCAACAAACTGGAGATCCTGCTCAGAATGTGAAGCAAGTGGAATGATCATCAAGCATGATCATGACTAAGCGTCATCTGTCCAAGAACATTTTGTGTCTTTAGTAGAACCTAATGAGGTCTGCAGAAAATACGTTAACCAAGGAGCCCAAAAGATGATCTCACACACCAAAGCACAAAAAAACACACTCTCAGTGACCTCACATAATGCTGAGTGCATCAGTGTATCTAAAAAACTTTGATGAATGGCTGTGGTCCTATTGTCATGAAATAAAATAGATCCCAATAAGGTGAACTTGGACTAATCAGAGAAGTGTGTACAAGAAACCATTGGCGGTGGACAAAGGGAATTTGCTTGTACAAAGCAGATGGCTCAGTTAGTATTGTGTTTTAGAAAAAAGCATACCCAGCAATCATTGCATAAAAATTAGTTCTATATTTAGTGAGGCAATGGAAACTTCTACTAGTTACTGGGAGTTTCTTTAGATTTTTAGATATACCTAATAACAATAAGCTTCTCCTCTGGAGGGTTAACAATCTAAGTTTGCAGACCAAAAGTAGAGAAAAAGGAAGTTCGCAGGGAAAACAAACATTTTGGCCCTAGCCTTTCAAGGTCAATTAAGACTCAGGACACAGTCCCAGCCCAGGCGCAGCGTGGGCCGGACCCTCTCCCAGCCCCTCGGGCCGCCCACCACCACTCCG